GCCCTTCCCCCGGCCTGCCACACCACCAGTGGTTGTGCCCGAGGTTGCAGCTGCATTTGCAGCTGCACCCACGGCTTCTGTTGCAGGTGTTTCTTGCTGAGGTTGTTCATTGTTGACAATAATCTGGGCTGTTTTAGGAAGGCAGAGGTATCCTCCATAATGGTTGACACATTTCATTCCACCTTTGCAGGCATCAGGGACAATGTCGCATTCATCAATATCTGTGAGCAGTAATAAAATAAGTCAGGAATCTTTTTGGAGGGAAGAAAAACACAAATAACGCTCCTGCCTTTTGGTATATACAAACAGGGCAGGAAGAGCAACATAGATGAGACAGAAAACTATGTTCAGGTGGGGTCTTTGAAGTGGGCTCACCTTTGCACTGCTGCCTCACAGGATCCCACTCATACCCGTCCGTGCATTGCTGTGAAGAGAACAGCAGAGATGGGCCAGGAGACAGTTAATTAGTGTGTCCGTTCCCTAAGAGGTCCCTCAAAAAGCTTCACTCTTAGGGCAAAAACCCTTGCACTAGAGTCCTAGATGGGTAGTTGCATTCTCTGCTTTTCTTAAGATAAGTCTGCATTGGGCAGCTTCCAAGGTCTCTCCTCAAATGTTAGCTGCCTTGACTCTTCTGGTGGGTTTGGTACAGTTGCCCATCACCATCTTCTTGGAATGCTTTTCTTGCCATCTTAAGACTAACCTCCAACCTCTCTGACTGGTCTTCTTTGTTTTATTTTTGCCTTTCCCCCACCACGTTGTGAATTTTTCCCACACAATAAAATATTCAACAAAGTTTATTTATTTATTTTTCTCTGGCCTTGAACTCTTCCCTCTTTCTTTAAACCCACTCCTCTTAGAGCATTTAAACACCTTTCTTTACTATTCTTATCTCCCTCTCACACCCTGGCCTGCTTCCTAGCTTCACCACAGACTTATCCTCTCTTGTTTACTCAGGGAACAAACCATCCGTGGAGCCCCTCTTACCGCTCACATTGCCCTTGGCCCTGGGAATGCAGAGGTGACGAGCACTGCATCCCTGTTCTCTAGTGGCTCATAAGCTAAAGGAAGACTGACAGGTGGCCAGGCTGATGCCGGCTGTCAAGTGCCTGCTGCAAGGTGTGTGTGGAAGGAGTGATGGACTGCTGTGGGTAGGACAGGGCAGAGGGGAGGTTCAACAGGGGAGGTGGCAAGTGAATTGAACCTTACAGTTTGAGCAGGTACCCTGGCCTGCTTCCTAGCTTCACCACAGACTTATCCTCTCTTGTTTACTCAGGGAACAAACCATCCGTGGAGCCCCTCTTACCGCTCACATTGCCCTTGGCCCTGGGAATGCAGAGGTGACGAGCACTGCATCCCTGTTCTCTAGTGGCTCATAAGCTAAAGGAAGACTGACAGGTGGCCAGGCTGATGCCGGCTGTCAAGTGCCTGCTGCAAGGTGTGTGTGGAAGGAGTGATGGACTGCTGTGGGTAGGACAGGGCAGAGGGGAGGTTCAACAGGGGAGGTGGCAAGTGAATTGAACCTTACAGTTTGAGCAGGTTTTTTTTTTTTTTTCCTCCAGAAAGATGCAGAGGTTCTAGGAGGATTAATGTGAGCAAAGGCACAAGACTGCTGAAGCAGAGGAACTGCAAGCAGTTCTGGGTGGGGAATGAGGTTAAAGCGTTGGGCAGGGCCAAATTTTGGGAGGTCTTGCTTTGGGGTAAGTAGAATCTGAATTCTGTGAAAGTCAGCACATCTTAAACTTCATTATGCTTAAGGATTACCGAGGGTGCTTGCTGAAGATATATACATATTCCCCTTCCATATTATAATAAATATAAGCCACCATTATCAGGTGCTTGTAGATTCCTGGGTTCTGCCAATATTCTGTAGGTCTGTGTAAGGAACCTGGAATCTGAATTCCACATATGCATCTCAGGTCATTCCCATACAGGTCAAATATGGGCTGTGTCTTGAGAAATGTTATGGATGAAGAAACTTTAGGCTCAAGAGACCATTTGATCAGATGCTCATTTGAGAAAGTTACTGTGAGGAAGAAGTTTTGGAAAAGATTGAGGAAAAGTGGACTAAACAAATTAATTCTATGGATAGAGCTGTGAGTTGCTTATGTACACAATAGATGCGTGGTGAGTAAATAGCTGAATGAAGGCAGAGAGATCAATTTAGGTATTTTACTGATACCTGAAACTTACCAAGGTAAAAACTCAACTCACTTTATCTTCCAGAATAATTCTTTCTAGTTTCCCACATATAGTCCAAGGCACTACCACCTTTCCCAGAACCCAGAATCACAACTTTGACATCAGCACTCACTTCTCCAATTATTTTCCTTCAAGCTCTGCTGACGGGTGTCCTTTTCTATGTCTACTACACTGGTGGAAGCCTTTGTGGCATTGTGAGTAGGCAAGGCTCTCGTGGTATTCTGAGTTTTGTTTTCCTTTTAGAGGTTTTTGCTATAGGGCGCATGCGCTCGCCAGACAGACAGAGAGTCAGAAAGCAAGAAATCACCCCCCAGGAGTGATGGTCACGCTGCAATCCCTTCTCCATTCTTCTCTCGGGATCTTGGGCATGCATGCACATGTGCCTGGCATGAGTTTAAGCCACCAGGTCCAGGACTTGAACTGCGGTCAACTACATGGGAGTCCAGCGACATAGCCATTACGCTAACTGCTGGTCCCTCTCACTGCATTCTGAATGCTGCCTCTGCGACAGTCTTCTTGCTCTCCATCTAAGAGCTCACACTGCCTGCAGGCCTGTCATCTCTCATTATTGCCATTTCAGGGTTCTCTCTTCTACCTGGCATTGGCCCATCTGACCTTATCATTTTCAAACCTGTCTTGATTGTTTTCACCTCCAGCCTTTGAATATATCACTCTCTGAGTCAGGTGCTTCTTCAACCTTTCTAGATGAATCCAAGGTCATCACTTCCTTCAAGATCATTACTTCCTTCTAGCATCCCTAATGCCAGCACTGACATTAATCACCTAACTTTTCTATTTCTTTAGCAACTTGTGTAATCTGTGTAATAATATTATTTGTACTTGCTTAGGAACGTTGTAGTTTTCAACAGTCTTCCCAGGGAAAATTATGTGAGGTGAAGGTCTGGATTTTCTTAGTAAACAAGCTCAAATTCCCGTGATTGTGGTGAGAGTTGCTTACGTAGATACTTGTCCAAGAAATAGCTGAATGGGCCTTATATTTAGTATAATATAGAAGGGGAATATGTTTATATCTTGTGGATACAAGCCCATCCTTCTAAAAAATACCTTTCAAACCAGGCAAAAATTGCAGTGCACTAGAATAATTTGTATGGAAAATAGAAAAGACTTGCAGTTTGTTGTAGTTATTTAGTTCTAGTACATTTAATATGGGTTTACTATTACACAAGTCTGTATTGAATTCAGTTTCACCATTTTCTGGCTGTATTACCTGAAGCAAGTTAGACCTTGTCTCTGATCTTCAGTTTTACTATCAGCAGAAGGAAGATGCCACTTACCTCATACTTTGCTGTGAGGATGAAAGGAAACAGTGTCTCCACAGTAGGCTACTCAAGTACTTACATCTTGTCCTTTAACCATGAATTATTAGGCATACAGAATTCAAAGGAGAATAGACCTAATCTTAGCACAAAAAGGGTATCATATCTGGAAAATTTGTTACAATAAATAGTGACTCTAGTTAGTAGTGTTAAAACTATAGTGTTTAATCCATAGGTAACTTTCTCTGCTAAATATCAATTTAGATGATTAGCAAAGGGAAGAGGTATAAGATAAACAATTGTAAAAGCAATAAAATGTTTTATTAGATGATTATGAAAGTGGATATGAATTTAATTTTAGCTCCCTGAGAAGGTAGTAAGTCTAGCCTGAATCACAAAACATTTTCATTTGAAGATAAACAGCACATGTTTGTGTTTTTCTTACTTTATTTATCTTCAGCAGAGGAAGCAACTGCATTTAACATTAAGTTAACAAAATATTTATATTAAACTATTTTATTTATAGTTGATATGAAAAACAGAATGGAGCGTTTGCAAGATGAATAGTAACATTCTAGGGATAACATGGTACAGAAAAGTGAGATAATGTTTATTATCAGTAATTGACATTAGCTCACTTTTAAGAATTTTTATTTTAAAAAATTTTTCACATTTTTTTTCAAGTAGGATTACTTAATTTTAAATTGGGAGCAAGCAGAAAATGTGTTTTTCATATTTCAATCCAGGACAAATGTCATTTGTCTCACAACACTGACTAATGACCAGGAACCAGAAGTGAGGTAAATTGCTTTCCTCCATTCTCACCACATCTATTCTTGGCAGTAGGAGGGAGTCAGATGATAGTTTTAGTATTTATTAAACACTGGTTATGTGCATGCAATTAAGTAGTAATCAAATATCATTAGGAGATATCAGAGATGCTAATTAGAAAATGCAAAACTGAGTTGCACATGCCACATTTTATAACCACTTTAGCAAATGCTATATCCTGGTAATAAAGTGTGTGTGCAGGGCATTTATGTGAGTAAATGCTTGTGTGATGTTTCACATTCTTATCTCACTTATTCTGCATCTTTCAGTTTCATCTGCAAGTGTATATAAATCCAAGGCTTTTTGATTCCTTATGGTCCATTCATTTGGTCAGTGTGTTGGAAACATGTAGCCGACTTTGGTTTTTATTTTGATAGGGTTCTGTTTTCATGGCCCTAACCAAATTGTTATATTTTGGTCCTTACCTCAATTGCACATCTAAATGAATTTTCAAAAGGATCATGGGCAATTTACAACAGATTTTAAATGTGAACCATGCTGAAGCTATATAATTCATTACCCTCCACAGAGTACAGTCACCCTGGCAGAGCTGGGTAAAGTCTTTCATGTGTCACAGAATCCCGCGGAATCACATTTATCTCAAATTCCATCACCCCTTACCGTGTACGTGATGGTTTCTTCGGTGTCCTGTGACTTGACCAGCGACAGAGTCAGCATAGTTAGGAAAAGGGCTTTCAACATTGTGAATCTCAAAGAAAACACGGGACAAACGGATGTTTAGTATTTGCTACAGGGGAAGTAAAACTTTAGTGGCAAAGTAACAAGCAAGAAAAGGAGGGTGGGCGAGACCGAGGTTCCACCATACCCACCTTCCAGTCTGCTTTCTCCCTTCCCCCCTCATCCACAAGGAGACATGAAGGACCTTAAACAGGCTGCAGAATTGCATTTCACTTTACCCCATTCTGCTCTGCTGAATATCTTGTATGTACAAAGGACATTCAGTGCATTTTAGCACCTACACAGCAGGCTCCAGAGGCAGGGGTAGAAGTGAAAAAGTAGGGTAATTAATTTCAAATGCAACAGTGTTTCTTTCCTCACTTCCCCGGATTTGGAGGGGGGTACAGCAATTTTCTATTCTCTTGAACATTAAGACCTGCCATATATGCTTACCTCCAGCTAGTTATGTTCCTTGCACAGTTCAGTAGGAATATCTTTAAATATGGATTACGTTGATCTCAAACTTTTTTTAACTAATAAAATACCAAAACAAAACTCAGAGAGGGATCTCCTCCCAGTTCTAGTAGAACATTAGAGCTTCTCACATCCCTCAGAGCCTCTTCTCACACTCCCCCTCACAAAGTCTGAAGTGGCATTTCATGCCACTCTGTGCTCACACCTTTGTTTAAAGGCTCCAGGTTGTGTGGAGGAGTGGCCCAAAGCTCCAGCTTCCCTTCTGTTTTACCAGATCCTTGGTCCTGGACATGCCACCTTCAGGAAGGACCTGGACTGCTTAGAGCCGGAAGAGGGACCGCACTGCAGCCTGAGGTGCCCTGGCGCCCACAGGAAGGTGAGGTCTCTTTAACACAAGCCAACAAGGGGCGACCCCCCCCCCCCCACATGCTCACCGCCCCACCTCCTGGGGG